CGTCTAATAGATACAAATAATAGTGGATGGAAATTAATTTTGATAATACTAAGTTGATTGTAAATTGTATTAAATAATTAACGTTAAAAAATTCTGAAGAGATTCTTAGAAGTTTTGAAGTCTTATTTTTAAAATTCCAGGAGAAGATAGAACAGAAAAAAATTATTTAAAAATTCAACAAAGAAATTCTCTTCAGTTCTTAAAATTCTTCTCATTTGATCCGATTGAAAGTTACAATGATTATATCTTTCTTTCTTTCATGAAATAAGACAAAATATATATTATTTTAATAATAAATAACATCAATTAAATATTTGACAGCAAATAGTCTGAAAAGAAATTAAATTTACAGCTCAACAAAATTCGAGAAGTTTTATCGTAGTAAACTCTCCCTTTGTTTTCCATCAACAACTTTGTAATTAAATTACGAAAAACAGAATAAAGAATCTAAAAATAAAATAACAATTGAAGTATCAGTTCGGATTTAATTGTTAACATCAGATAATCGTGACACCATATTATCGTGTATCTTCAAATACATATACATGTAAACATATTTTAAATTATTTTCGCATTTCATAGAATTGTAATTTTCATCTAATGAATTTCACATTTTCTCATTTCATACTATTTTATTTTTATTATTTTTTTTTTTTTTTTAGGATATATAAAATTATGATTATACTACTTCAATAATTATATTATACATAAATCCTTTTATTCAATTTATCCCACTAAAAAAAGCAGTAAATTTTACATTCAATTTAAATATTATTCTCTTTTCATCGAAAATATTATAACTACAATGGAAATCATATTAATTGATTATTTTTTTATATATTAATTCTTTACATTTTATACCAAAGATATAAAATATTTTTATACCGTTTTATAATAATAAAATATCAAGATACATTGTAATATTTTAATAATAATTATTTCATCTTCTCAATTCGCAATCCATCGAAAAAAAAGCAGAACGATTCAACCTAGATATTCTTTTCATCGAAAATACCATATAACGAACCGTCATGTCGCTACTTTTCAACATAAAACATCACTGTCCCACGATTGACAGTTCGCGAGCAGTATTTTTCCTTCTTCAACAGCACAGTATCGACGCTTTTATCGTCTCGTGGGACAATGCAGTCGGTTCGTTTGACTCTCCCGATGGAAATCGAGTTTGACTGTACGACATTGGCAGCATCCTCGTGGCCGAACAGTTTTCAGTTTCGAAACTTTACACTTTGCCCTCCTCTTTTAACGTCAATTGTCGCGAAATTTATGGAGCGTAACGACGCTGTAAAATCATTAACAGCCTGTTTTTTCCCCTGTTCGCCTTTCAAAAAAGGGATGGAAAAAAGTGGTACGGTTTTTAATCGGTGGTTAAGACTGCATCGAATTTTCACTTTATCGGAAACAACACATATATGTGAGTGAAGAAAATTTAAAGAGTGCGACAGCTGGCTTGGAAAAAAAAAGGCGTGAAATTTTCCTTTATGGAAAAGTTATAAATATGGAGGAAGAAATATGCGATTAGAAATTGATAGAGTGTTGCAACGTGTTCCAAAGTTGCATAATTTTTTGAAGAAATCGTTTGAAAGAATGTTGTAAGAATTTATGATGGATTGGATAGAACATTGTTAATTGGATTTAAAAAATAATTTTAAAAAACAAATAAATTAAACTTTATTGTATAATTTATATATTTCTTAATTTTGCACGAGACAAATCAAGATTATTCATCGAATATGAAATATGATTCATATAAAAATTATTTTCGATTCTATTTATTCATGGAGCCGATGCAATTTCTTTTTATCAAATATTGAAATATGGATATGACAAACAAGTTGCATGCATAAAAATTGGAAAATTTGGCTAATTTCAAAAGTTACGAGAACAGATCAAGTGGGGAACAATTTGAAATTAAAGCTGGAAGCTCTGCAACGCGAAATCGATCTGCAAACACCAGTATAACGATGTCCTCGCGTGCTGACTAAGGAGCTGACAAGGATTTTCGTATTGTTACAGTGCCACTGTCAACAATGCTGACTGCTTGAGCGGCAGTTTCCAGCTGAAATTTTGCTCTCTCTCTCTCTTTCTCGAACGGACGAATTTGTGACAATTCACCACACTGTAAGATGCATCGAAAACCTCTTCAACTTCTTTTCGAACAATCACTGAGTGTACTCGACCGTTTTCAAAAACTCGGAAGTGGATCGAAATTCTTTCTCATTATTTCTTGCTAGATTTGCTAAGATCTTCGCTCCCTGTCCAACGATTTGGCTCTTTCGTCGTCAATCGATACTTGATAAATTGATGATTCTGAGAGATCTTTCAAAAGTTACATGATGATAGAAATGAAGTAAATTAATTCTGATTATCAATATTTTGTGCAGATAAGAATCAGGATTAAAAAGGGATAAAATTATAAATATGTTAAGGAAGACATAAAGAACTTACTTCGATCAAAGGACAATTAGTAAGATGGTTATAAGTATTCTTCCATAAATAAACATATCTGTCTCTTAACTCAATCTCTCGACTCAAACCTTTTAAAATTAGAAACGCTATAATAATTAAATAGTGAATAAAAACTTAAAATAGTTTAATTCGATTTAGAATTCCCATTGTGATATAAAGTCTCTTCATTTTAATGATTTATCTAACACATTAAGATATCAAGATGAATCAAGAAATAAATTGAATGGCACGAATGAAATTTATTTTCTAGACATTTCTATAAGCAATATAATATTCGAAACAGAAAGTGTTTCAAGTAGGTAAATCTTAAATAAATAGTGCCATAGTTATAGTAGTAAACTCGAATCGTTTCTTTCTCCGATAATCGATGATTTGAATAACTAGTATTTGGATAATTGATACCCCTGTTAATCGACATACGGATTATCGACATTTCATTGCAAGTCATAGTTGCACACCAACATGATTCAAAGACGGATTGAAAGCTGTAATACGTATTCATAGCTATAAATCAGAAGTAACGAACGTAATATATCAAATATACAAGGATATGAATGCGAAGTTTTACGAATAAAACGATTCCCAATTAACTTTAGATTGAAATGTTTCTAACTGATAAATTTACTGATAAAGATCGAAAATCTTTATTATTTTTATAATAAAAATCTCTATAATTATCGTATTAAAAATGAAATCTCATAAATATGAAATAAATTCGAAAGTATACAAATTTTCTCTTCTCAAAGACAAAGATAAAGACAATTACTGTATACTATAATCATTTGAAATTCAGTTAACTGATTGAATATGTTCATCTTTAGTTTCATAATAGTAATATAAAGAAAACTTCTGGAATTCTATACATGAAATTTCATAGAATATCATTACAATGGAACATCAAAATCCCAAATCTGCTATACGTTAAGAAATAGGCAAGAAGTTTCTCAGAAGTTCCCTGGCTAAAAGCTGATAATCCGTCGTTCGAGTGATAAGTCTGATTAATTTTGAAGAAGCACTCACCGTAATGGAACAAAGGAATTATTTACACCGTCGAAAGTTCAACAAGCTAACTTCGAAACTTGAATTTTAGCTTCGAATATCTTTGAGGCAAAACAAATTCCTGCACGAGTTATCTTCGTGGAGTCTCAAAATCGATGGAAAACGTTTCGTACTTCAGTCACACTTTCGTTCTTCTTTAGAACATAAGTAAGCATTGGTAAATTTAATTTAAATTTCCATAAAATCACATTAAAAAATTTCCTCGGCGAATTATCGAAGAGAAAACAAATCCAAGAGCAAACAAATCAGATTTTTTTTTCATTGTAACAATTTTTTAAGTTGAAATTATTTTATGTTATAAAAAGACGAAATTTCTAATTTTATAAAAGAATTTCAAACAATAGTATTAATTAAATCATTTTTCGGTCGAGCGATGATCTGTAATTGCTAATATTGATTCCCCTTCGTTCTCTATGACTTTTAATCGCGATGGATTTGCGGTGATATATCGTTCCACGATCATTTCATCCTCTGTGTTATTCCCTGCCGATGAAACTGCGGCTGAATCGCGTCATAATCTGTCACTAAACCGCAATGCGAGTACAAAGACCGAAGCAACCCTTTCGTGCGCATTTGGTTTTCACTCTGGATTCCTCCCTATTTAGGGAACATCATATCCCTAGTTTAATCGGGGATTAATACGATACACGAAGTATGAAATACCATATGATTGTCACATTTATCATGAACATCATGTATCTTTGATCATCAAAATTAGATGAGTAAGATTCTTAATATTTGTTATAAAATTAAAAGAGAGAAGAGAGATTCAATAACAAAATTTATAAATTAGTAAGTTATTGTGTCATGTATAGATGATAAATAATACAAGAATCAAAATATTTGAAGATTTTTTATTGTTATATAAAAATTAGTGCATTTCGTATCCCTTTAAAAAAGTCAAGTATCAAAGAATTAAAAAAAAAAAAAGAAAATAATGATTGAAAACATATTAAAAATACAGAACAGAAATTCGAATAATTAATAACCATCGTTCAACATTAAGTCCCGAAAAAATCCTACTTTCCTCTCTCTTAAAAGAGAGCATAAAAGTTTGATCAAATGGATATCAAAGACTTAATCCTTTTCATCAATCATAAACGATTGCACGCAACGTCAAGTTTATCGATCTGAAACATGATTACTCTATCTTCCTACTCGTTTCATGTTAATTACAAAGTAAGTTCTACATAGGTTGGTGGATAGACGGGTGTCGTAAATGGCACGAAGGTTTCTTTGCCCGAGACAATTTGTCACGGACGAGAGATCGGAACAAAGACACGTATCGAACGACTCTTCACCTCCATTCGTTCGAGAATACTCGACAGTTCCTTTATCTACCTCGCCATTGACATCGACCCTCTTTTGCTGACGATGCAAGACGTAGCCCAAATCTGGCGATCAAAATGAGATACATGCCCATGTTGAGAGCTTCGTATATTACGATTCAAGACTCTCTATTCTCCTCTTTTATCCTCTTTTGACTTTTCCTTACTTTTTCTTCCTGCATTGTGAACACGAGGGATTGGACGAGTCTTTGTGCATTTCTTCGACGAAGCAGCTTTTTAAATTTTGCCCATTGAATTTCGTCTATTTATATGTATATCAGCAACGAGTGTAATATGCTGTAATAGAGGCAAAAGGAATAATGAGAAATATGAAGTGATATCACTCGAAATATGGACAAAAAAAGGGAGAGAAAGAGAATAGGGGGATAAGATACAATAGAATAAAATATATTAATAATGCGAAATAACAATGGTACGGTAACGATAAATTTTAATGGACATTATTTCAAAGGTAACGAAGTATGTATTGATGTCGCATGAGCTCAATTGCGGAACATAGAACCACACATAGAATACAGACAATTGATTTAAAGTGGTTTAAGATGACATGGAATTTGCTGTATGAGAGATAATGAAGTTCATGTTATTGAAGTTAATTTTTTTTAAAGTTAATGAGAGGGAAAAGAGGAGAAGTTTGATATCCAGTTATTCCCATTTTTTAAAAAAACATTGTGTAATTTATTATAAAGAAACATGGATTATGTAATATGATTATCTCAACTATTTTTATAATTAATTGATAAGAATTTCTTTTATTACTGATGATATAATTTTTTTTAAGATAATAATATTGAGTTTTTTATTTTTTATAACAATGTTTAGGTAACCTCTAACATTTTTCATCTAACAAAAAATGATTAACAAGTTGTTTAACAATGATTACATAGTTGTTTTTACTTTTAGTGTACTAGAAACTAAAAAAAGACGAAAAGTAAAACGGCTATTGCAAATTTATACTGTTTGACTGTACGATATCGAGTAGTCACGTCGAATTAAGGCCAGTGAACATTATAGTGCGACAGAATGCGATCAACGGTGAATCGAAATCTTCGATACTGGCATCATATCGCTATAAAATATTCTAAAGCATAAAAATTACGAAATTTTTTATACTTTCGTAAGGGAAAATTTGTCTATTATTCATCATATATGTGTTAACTTTTTGCATTTATAATTTTTTTCTAGAGAATTCTAGAGAAAAATAATATTAACATATCAGAATGATAAAGATTAAATATATATTTAATAATCATCTATTTTATTAGAATTAAAATGTTACCTTTATATCAACGAGAATATCTTGAAGAAGCACAGAGTTTCATTTTACACAGTGAGAATGTTATCATTACTTTGAAGTCTGTCTCATAGACTTGTGAAATTCACGAGGATGAACACAGTCAGTGCAGTTAATTCAGACAGGGAGGAACTCGTTTCAAGCATTAAGTGCACAGCTCCACAATGGATTTGCTACGTGCTAGAGGCTAGTTCGGTGTAACATATTTCTGTCGTACTTGAAATTCAAATTTTATTACATATTATTATCACATATAAAATTCATCAAAATCTGAATTTTATTAATTTTTTTTTTTTATTAAATTTTCTCTTTTAATATATCCAATTTAAAAATTCAAATTCATAATAATAAAATAGAAATTCACATAGGAGATATTCAAATAAGATATTTTCAAAATAAAAATAATAATTCATTTGAATCGATACATTATAATTCTTTTTATTATATAGTATTCTAAACATCGATAAAATTTTTTCTTGACATTTCTTCAGAAAATTTCACTCGTTCAACACGAGTACAGCGGAAAATTTTCGAGATAAGCGGAAATCGAATCATATACCGTTCGTTCACTGCGAATCAAAATCAGTGCACATTTCACGAATGAATTCATGTCTTTACGCAAATATCATAAGAGAAATTCGTTTCAGATTGTATAGATCACCGTGAAACGAGCATGTGACAAGCGCAGAGGAAATAATAACAGCTCTGCACCCGTCCTACAGACACCGGATCTGTGTCAATCGATCCTTTCTTTTCTCTGTCCATTGCGAATTCCATTCCACCTACTTCTTATGATATTTTTTTTGTTATAACAAATATTTTTTTTTTGAAATGTAAAATAATCTAGAGATAACGCGCGTGATCATACAAGAGAAACGATTTTTAAGATTTTGTTCAAATAAAATCGCGGAACAAGACATTCGATGCGGAGTTTTTCCGGGGTTTATAGCACGGTAAATCGAGGCTGAAGTTTGTGGGTCGAGGTCATTCGATTTATGGTGTTCTCGCTGGATAAAACTGTAACGCCCTTTTGTTTATTCTCTATTACAGGGTGAAATGAGAGTGCAGTTAATGTAAATGATAGACGGGTAATTTATTCCATAATTTATTCCAATGTTTTGAGATATCGATTCCGCAAAAGTTGAAAGGTTAATAAGTAAAGGAAAATTGATGATTGGCTCAATTTTTAATACATCTCAAGAATTGCTCTCGAAAGTATTTTTCACAAATAAAAATTGCGTTTAGAATATCTTTTACTTTTAATTATTCATTATTTAAGAAAATTAACTTTCGAATGACTTCAAAAAATTTAATTCTCTTCATATCTTTAAAGTGAAAGTACTATCATCATTTACAAGCAATTCAAAAATAATCTAATATCGATAATACAATCTCTCAACGAAGAATAAAATACGAACTTATCCTTCTAAGAATCCACAAGATTCTTTTCCCAAATTAAATTGAATGGTTGAAATATCAATCGGAATATATTGTAGGATAGATAACTTTAAGCAGTCGTAAAATAGTTAAAACGACATCAAACGTCGTTGAAATAGAGACGTAGATGCATTCTTATCCTCGAGATATTCTCTTCCATTTCCACCCTTATCTTCATTCGTTCCGCCTCTATTCTTATCCTAAGCTTTTTATCCATCGTTCTTTTTCCATTTTCCACATTGTTACGTTATCATTGAATCGTATCCGAATGGGGACACCGCACCGTTTTTCCTCCCCGTTAATTAACTTTCCACACTGATAAACCGGGAGATCGTTCCGCGTATGATTAATTTCCCTATCTACAGAGTAAATGGACAGGCACGTATCATTTCTACGGTTATGCACAACATTTGTGGCAAATCTGGATCAATTATGTCATAATTTTTAAAAATCCTTCTACATGGGGATTATGCAGATATCGTTTATTTATTGTCCCGTGCTAAAGATTGTATCTTGTGTTGGAAAGTAGATTAATTTTTTAATCATACACGTAGGTTGTAAAGGTTTTGGGTAAATATTGGACATTCGTGTATTGAGGTTTTAATAAAAATTTAATATCGGAACGAATATAGATTGTTATTAGCAGAGAAAATTCCTGAGGATTTTGTTAACTTTTATGCATATTTCTGAGACTTTGAAATGATATAATAATTTAAAATCGTTTGGATAATTAATAATTTAAGCTTGTAATCAATATATTGGATCGAATTGTCAAATTTACTTTGAGATTATTTTACTTGAAATAATTGTCTGATTATTTTCATCAACTTTTAATCAATTTATAATCAAAAGATTTTATTCAATATTTCAATATGAAAGTTAAAATATATTTTATTAAAATATTTTCCAAAAATTATAATTTTAAATTATTATATAAAATTAACTACAAAATTTGCAATGGGTAATTTTAAATTACCTTTAAAGACCAATTGATTCTTTCCAAAATACTGAATACAACAAGACGTTTCTTCGAGAAAATCTTTATTTCTCCTCGATACTATTCTCAATCCATCAAATCATCCATTCTACCCCACCAATTTCCCTCATTTAAGACGATTCGATTGTCGTCCGATTACCCCGAGACGACTCACTCTCGACGTTTAACGAAGAAGCAAGAGTTCGACTCAGTCCGGCTAATTGGAGCCGATCTCATGGTGCTAACTAGTTAGAAACTAAAGGTGTAACCGGGGCTCGTTTCCATCCCCTTTCGTCGACCCTTCTACGAGTCTCGAACACGCACCCTAAGCGGAGGAAGAGCTCGTTATACGAGGCGTGCGCCGTCAGAAATCGTGTCTGTGGAAAATACGACGAGACGTCGTCGTGTTTGAGTTTCCAACGATCGTTATCTGGAAACTGTGACACGGTTCGACGTCGTCTAGAAATCCCTTGATCGCGATACATCTCGAGAAAAATTGTATAATTATTTATAAATATAAACTAAGAATATTTTTTTAATTAATTATCAATGAGAGAAGCAAAGAAAGAGAAATTATTATATCAAAATTTAAAATCTGTTTCATCGGAATGATTTATTCGTTTATATATTTTCTTATTTAATAATTAATTAACGTACGTTATTATCATATTGTACATGGAATATCATGGAAGGATTAACAAATAATTTAACATTTGAGTTAATATTCTTTTTATTTATTATTAGTAAAAATCAGAAAGATTTATTATGTTTTATTCAAAAGATTTTTAAATCTAATTAAATTAAATCTAATTAAATTAAATCTAATTATTTGATTTTCATAATAATTAGTTATGAATTCATATTCCAAAACTTAGAATTTTATTATTTTAAAATTAATGAAATTAAATAAAATTAAATAATCTCGTGAACTATTTGAACTACTGATATAAGTTAAATAGAAGAAAAGGGAATCTTTGTGCGAGTTATAAAGTTTGCCGGAAACCGCTATCTAATGGAAACCGGATAACGATGTTCGAAAGCATGTAGAACGAGATCTGTTTCATTCTCAACGGACATCTTCCTTTTGTTAAATATATAATTCCGATATTAAATATTTAATTTGTGTGGGAAGTTGTCTTCTACAGGAAATAAGTTATTAAAACTCATTTTCGTTCGTACTCAGTTTATTTCGTTTATTTTTTATATTTTTCTTTAGGTTGGTCAAGTATTGAGTTTTCGTGGCAGTAATTTACTTTTGGATTGAATATCTCGTTTTACTTGTGCTTCGTATATAATTTGTGCAAATGATTGTGGTTATAAATATACCAATTTCTCTAATTTTCCTTTAGAATTCCGTTTTAGGTTTTTTGTTATTTGTTATTTAGTAGTTTTTGATGAGATTAATGATACTTTTATATAATTTATTTTTAAATGAATTATGAAATAGAATCATTGAAACGATTCGAAATAAACAATAAAGATTATGCAAATTTTTCTGGAAAACATCAAGTTTAATACATATAATTATTTAATTAATTTACATTTATAAAAATATATATTAAATAATAAATAATAATAAATAATTAATAATATATCTAAGAAGAAAAATTAATTTTTCTATGCCTTTAATTTAATAAAAAATTAGCTATTATTTCAACATTTATTTAAGATATTCCCAATCATTTAATCCCATTAAATTTTTCTTCAATTCGTAAATAAATTTTTTCCTAAACTCTTAAAAAAATCTCCAATTTTAATTCAATCATTCTATAATAAATAAAATTTTTTTCTTCAAATTAGAAACATTTAATACAGATTCCTATTTACACCCGGGTAATGCTTTATCTCGCTTAAATACTTGAAAATTCATTCATTCGTTTAATAACCGCGAATGATCGAATTTGCATTGCAAATGGAACAAAACGAGATAGGCGATTTTTGCCCCGAGATTTTGTTTCGCTTAAAAACGTTGGCTGTATCGTTATGCTGACTTTTATATCATTAAGCTTACGTAACTTTCTTTTATTATTTCGAGCCAGTTGCGTTTCGTTACGGTCTGCATATTCG